CATGTATGAATAGCCTAACGTCTAGCTTCTTGGTAGTGACCTGTAGCTCTCCTGTCCACACCTTGTGACACATGGAAAATCTTTTGTTCAAGTGCTTAAAATACTTATATGCATTTATCTTGATTCAATCATCAACATTTAAAGGACCTATAGTTTTACTGCTAAACATCCTAATCAAAACTATTACTTTCCCAACCTTTTCCTTTATAAGTCATGTTAGTTGAGCCTTTCCATGAAGGATTCAACCTCATGCCAACCATGAGATCCATCCAATCTAACTACATTCATCCCTGAAGATTAAAGTCAGTTTTCATGTACTTCTTTGCCTCAATTACACATTCCAATTGATTGCATTTACTTCAGTGGTGGTAGTTTGGTTGCTTTCATGTATTTAGGCTACATTGTTTCTATATAATTTCTGTTTATACTAATAACACAAGAGTCTAAAAATAGTTTCTTTTTGGGTAAATCCACATTTTTGCCCTTTTATAATTTTTCTCTAATCTTTGTGACATTCATAAAGCCGGATTTTTTTTGTTCTTATCTTGCTAATGTTTACAAGTCTTTTGTTTTTTGTTTATCATTATTTACACTATTTACATTATTCAGACTTCTGTCTCCATCTTTGTCATATTTACGATGTTTCAACCATTGTATACTCCATACTTCTTCGGGTGATTGGAATTTTGAAGCAAGCCCCCGATTTAATCCACTAAGATAGATTGTTCTAGTTCCACGTGCCAGGTCTTTTCCATATATCTCAGATTCAGTTATTTCCTTTTAGTAACTCAACTCTCCAAGCTCAGCTGTGTCCAGATATTGAACTCACAACTCTTTGGGTAAAGTTACTGGATTACTTCAACTAATGCTTTTATCCACTAGGCCATGTAGATAATAGATATTACAAACTTAAATTTACATGGTTACAATATCTGATCTCAAAAATATAGAGATGTTTTTTTTTTTTATTGTACAATGTTTCTTAAAATTTCTTGTTGTATTCCCATCACTAAAATTTGCATTTTATTTCTCTTTTAAGGTTATATATTTCTTATAACATATGGCAATCTTTATATAACAGAAGCTTATAATATTAAAGAACTTCTGCCAAAAAGCACCCAATAAAAGACTAGAGTTATAATATTCAATAAAATCAAAAGTGACTTATCTAGTTAGATGACTTAAGATTTTCATATTGAAATGCTCATTAGCGCCAAATGTTCAATACATTTGATGCTTGATTTATCAAACATTTGGCCCTGTTAAGTGTTTCAATTCAAAACTTAAGTCAACTAACCAGGTAAGCCATTTGAACTTTTCTTGATTTATTGAATATATCTGAAATTAAAAAAAATAAATATCAATAACTATTAGAAATATTTATCATCAATAGGATAACCTTAGGGCTGCATAAAATTTCATAATCACCAAATAAGTCATTGTAATTAATTCTAATAAAAAATGATATTATAAACTGAAATTCACATGGCACATTTGTGATTTAAATATAAGTAATGAAAGATTTACCAATATTACCCAGTTAATAACAATATTATTGTGAAAATATAGACATGCATAGTAAAATCTTGATATAATGTGGATCATTTTCATTCATAGTAGAGGCTTCTGAATTTATTCATCCATGTTTTTTATTGAACTAGACTAAATAAGTGAAAAGACTGGTAATCTGAAAGACAACATCAAATGGAAGAATTGACGAATACAAAATAACTGCTAATATGAATATCAGAATGAAAAGGTACCTGCTATGAGCTGAATAAAATTCGGGGTTCAAAAATTCTCAGGTGCTTGCTGAATAGGATAAACTGTAAAAAGGTTGCAGGATTTTTTTTAATATCTATAAATTATCATGACTGTTCTCTGGTAAACCTTCTTCACTATATATATATATATATATAGCAAGATGTAACCATAAATTCTATGCTAACAGTTTCTTCTCTCACACTTCTCAAAGTCTCTTTCTGCTTCTTTCTTTCCAGTCAACTTTAATCTTCAAAATTTTTAAATGCAATGTTGATCATTATCATTGGTCTTAAATCCTGTTCTCTTGTTGTTCTCTCCCCTTAATAATGTTTTCTTTCCTCATATTATCTCACACACAGTCACTCCTTGCATCTTAGTGTCTTTATTGCCTTGCAACAGATAAAATGATTATATAAATAAATAAGCCTTATTTAAGTGTGTAATTAATTCACTAAGTCAAGGTTTTTATTATTGATAGTTCAGGATTCAGCATAGATTACTGAAGGCAGAATAAAAGTGTGGGTTAAAACATTGTGAGCATATTGACCAAGATAAAAATGCTGGTATGAATAGTAAGACACATGATAATACCTCATCGCCCAGATTCCGAAAAACTATTAGCACTAAAAAGGTGCTGTCTTAATCAAGCTTCAGCACCAAGAAAGATACAAATTTTAAAAATTAAAATAATTTAATTTTTAGACAGCATTTTGCATAGATTTGTCAATAAAAGTTGTCTCCCTGCTTAACACTGATATATAGTATTAGTATGAGTTGTTCCCCTTTAGTTTACAAGAATGCGTATAGTTTTCGATTATGGTTGCGAATAGATACAATATGAAAGTTTTATATTTTATATTTATTTTACATTAGTTCAGTGTTTCGGCATTTAGGTGTAAAATTTAATTTCAATCTTCAATATATGCATAATTTTTTTTTTACTTATATAAATCATATTATTAAATTTAAAGTAGAAAATTAAAAAAAAAAAAAAAAAAAAATCAGCATACTGTAATGAAAACAGTTTTTTTGTCAAAATTGTTATGTTATTAAGAGGGAGGATCAAAAGTATTCTGAATTAACTTTTTTGAACCCTCTTTAGAAAAATCGAAATTTTTATTAAAAAATGTTTTTCTTGCATAAGCGGTTGTTCTAACTTTTAGCATAGCAAATTTTAGTCTCTTTTTTGCAGTTAGACACATTAATTTTTCAACGAAAATGAATTCTTATAGGATTTGTTTCCATTTTTTTTTTTACAATTCTAAATTGAATAATTTATAAAGTCTTTAAATCTTTTAGAATTCATTTTCAATCTGATAATTCTTAAAAAATATTGTTATTAAGTAAAACTGTATTTCCTAGTCATATATTGTAAAGTTTATTGCAATCTGATGACCCCAAATATTTTTAAAAGAATTTACATTTATTTTTGTACATGTGATTACATGCAGAATTTCTGAAGTATGGATGTACAAACCTATTAATCTATCATTAAAAGGTCATGTGTTTTAAGGGTTGTCCCCCACCTATAAAGTTTATCATCTGCTCTACCATACTTACTTATGAACCCAATCCACTATCTATAAATCAATTAACACATCAGAAAAACAAGATCTCGTGGTTAAGAAATATTTGTATATAACATTTTATGCTATAAGTAATATGTTTCAAATCAGATTAATTTAACTTTAAATTTGCTAATTTTCCTCAAATAACATTTCAGAAATATATATTATTTTTACAAGATTTTTAAAATTGAGAATAAACTTACAATGTGTTTACAAATGTGTTAAAAAGGGCCGTTTTGATCGATTTTAATGAAAAAAAAAAAAAAAAAATTTGATTCCGATCAATATAATTATTGTTTGATATACACCATAGAGTGTGTGTATATATATATATATATATATATATATATATATATATATATATATATAAATTTTAAATCCTTTAGATTTCAATTAAAACTCAAGAAAACTTTTTCATTTTTAAAAATTCATTTTAAACCTTACGTATACCAAATTAGTGGAAGTACCTAATTTCAAAAATTCACGGGTAACGTTAACTAGCCTAAAGGTAGGTAACTATTGTGCTAGCTGTAATGTAAGGGAGATAATTCTACTCAAACATTTCAGACAGCATCATAATTGCAATCTATTTTCCTAAATTCGAATGGTTAACGTTTTAAGGAAACAAAGAGATTTTACTATTTATCTTGATTGATTTGCAAATAATCATGACATTCAATGGAAATTAACATCACATATACGACCTCATTAATAAGCCAAGATTTATATTAATATATCTACTGCATGAATTTGGGTACAAACTTGAAAACATTGATAAAAGCTATTTCTAAGATGCAACAAGTATATCAAATTCTCATAAAATACTTATTAAGAGTGAAAAGTCTAATAACATTTCCATTTTAAATTATTGCCCTTAAAATAAAGAGAATGAAAAAAGAGAGAAAAATCGAAGAAAAGACAGTAGGTTCAGATTGAAACGAGAAGAGACTTACATTTGAAGTTGAACCAAGTTCAACTTGACAAGCTGACAGATAGCCAACAGGAGAAAGTGTAGTCAGGATTTATTTCTACTACATTTTGCTTTTGTAAATAAAAACTATTTAACTTTACATGGAATTTCTAATTGTATTTATGTGGGCCTGAAGATGTTTTTGCACTAAAAATAGACCACAAGGAAGAAAAAGTTGAAAAACACTAAAAACACACAAAAGAACTGAACTAAAAACTTATTAATTTAAATGGCAATTTTATGTCCTAAAAAGAGCCATTTTATTTCTAATATTTCTACTAAAATCTCTGGTATGCTTAGAATTACAACACACACAGTAATAAACAATTCTCAGAGTAAAACTTGTAATGAAATAATAAGAGTGAAAATGTTTCATCTAAAAAAGCAACAATAATAAGATGAAGTAAAACAAGTGATGAAATAATAATAGTGAAAATGCATAATCTAATAAAATAGACTAAATCTAATAAACAAATAAGAGTAAAAAATATTTCAATTTGTATCTGCATTGGTAGACTTCTTTCTGGACACTGCGTTTCCAACTTTGAATTTTTTAACCAGAGTGAACTAAAAGATATTTGAATGATTTTTCTCATAACTTTAATTATGACCATAATCTAATGCTTAAATCAAATATAAGAGAGATACAAGGATTATATAAATTATTAAGAAAGAAAAAAAAAAAAAGTAATATTTACATCCTTCTTTGTGTGTCTTTGGATCTGCATATAGATGTTCAATACGATGTGTGTTAAATGTACTGGCTCGGCGAATAATTCCATGAACCTGAAAAAGAAGAGAAAAGAAACATTCAAAATTGAATCATTCAATTTATCAAAAAATAAAAATTGAAATTAAAAAATGTTTTTCTTTACTACTACAAAATTAAATCTACAAATATGGTAGACATAAAAAAAAAAAATTAAAAGTATGCTTGACAAAAAAAAAAAAAAAAAAAAAAAAAAAAAATGAAAGTATGGTTGACAATATGTATTAGCTGAAGTACCCCCTCTATATTGGATACAAGGTCAAGACATGAATCAAAGCTTGTTATAGTAACAAGAGAATATAATTCCTTCAGACTTTGATGAGGAGCTGGTAACTTACTTTTGCCAGAGTCAGGTTATATGAAACTACTGGATATATAAGCCCAGAAAAATGTCCTCACATCTTATAGCAAGATGAAACTAATAAAGTACATAACCAACCAAGAAATGTTGGCAATTAAAATTTGTTTATACACATTCAACAAGGTTCATTTTTATCACTACCATTCATGAATATGAATCATTTTTGCTTAGAATAAAGATAACAGCTGGACTAGTGAAGAATCCAAGTATCAGAAATGAAATGCTGCAGAACAATCCTAGGCATCATGGACCACATCACAAATGACAATGCAAGACACCATCAAGAAAGAGGCCTATTGGTAGACTTAATTAATATCAAAAAGAGAAAGTTGAATTGGTATGGATACATCAAGGGCCAACACTCTTTCTATTGTCATCCTACAGGATACCACCTCAGTCAAAAGAGGAGATTGACAGAGGAAAGAAAATGAACTGACAACATCATTGAGTGAAATGAAAGATATTTTGTAGAAACCCAGGAATTGGTACACAATTCAGCTGCACAGTGACTGTGACCAAACCAAGTCATGGGACTGATAGTGAGAGATAGCAACAGAAAAATATAAAAATTAGTAACCGGAAATTAAAACAAAAAAAAAAAAAAAAACTTTTATTTGTTCCTTGGAAATTTCAAATGAAGAAATAATATAGAAAGGATAAAATATACTTTGGGAAGAAAAGTGTTTTACAAAACATCTTTTTCAAAGAACAAATATTTTCTCTTGCAGATATTAATAATAAAAGAAAAAATATCATCCTATATGGAACAACTACAAAAGGTCACTATTCTTACAAAAGATTTTTGTAGGACAGAAAATTTATATCAAGGAATTAATAGATTTTTATCTTACATTATTTCTTATTACTTACGTTATATTTAGTGAATACATGTTTGAGTAAACACCAGTTTTTTGGGGGTTTTTTTTAAACAGTAACATTTTCATCTACTGACCTAGGTTTTCCAAGAATCTTTAATAAAGTGGATATGCTCTATAATGCAATGGGTCAGTTTTCTATTCCTCTTGTTAGTATTTTTTGTTATATTTTGATTAAAGTGTTAGTGTAAGCTTTCGATTTCTGCTTTTTTTTTTTAACAATAACATATTGAAAACTTCAACAATCACACAACTGAGTCATAGTGTATATAAAAATGTCAAACTAAAGTAACATAATGGATTGTGTTGTGTACCAACAAGATTTACATGCAAACCATTGATAACCATAACATTGTAACAAAGTAATAAGAACAATTAATGACTGCAACAATTCAGTATACAAAGCAAAATAGATCAAACAAGTCTTAGTATCAAATAAATACCAACATCTGAAAATACAAACTTAATTAAGCTCCAAGGAATTAATTTTTTACCATATAACCATGCAACAACTCTTGAAATAGCAGTTTATGATGTGAATATAACATTTGGAATCTGATATTATAATTGAACATATTGTTAGTGACATACAAGTGGTACTAACCCAACCATTGGTGACCAGGATTTATTTTTCTTTATATACAAGTGATAAAGTTTAATTCAGTACAATAAGGGATTAATGACAATGACTAATAATAAAATAAAACAATTCTAACAATATCCTGTAATAAAATTTATGCAATGGATACAAGATTCATTCTCACTGTAGATTTTAGCAACCTCTGTATATCATTTTTTTTTTTTTTTGCCTTAAATTGAAAACTCACTTTTTTTTTTACTTAAAGGAAGCACTTTATATTGGCCTATAGGAATTTCCAGCTTTTTTAGTCCATGGTATTCTCAGTATCTTTCTGTATAATTACATTTCTATTGACTCAAGCGTCTTCATCTGTAATTATTTTTTTATTTTTTCGTATGGAAAGCCAGACCATAACCATTCCAGTTGTATTCATTAATATACAAATCTTTAGTCAAATAAATGAGAGTGTTGAAAAATTCCTGCCTACTCCTCAACACCCAATGAAGATACAAGAAGGGAATGCCCTAGAGCTATGAAATGCATAAGTTATTACACATATTAACTCCAAAGTTCATTCTTGGGACATTGTCTTTCAAATTTCTTTAATGCTTCTTAAATAAATTCTGATGTTTGGCTATTGAAATACCAATTTGGGGAAGTGGATCACTTAAAAAATTTTCAGTATAAAATTCGTCAAGTCCAATACATCCTACTTTGTCAAAAACTAAAGCTAAACATTCTTATCTTGTGAACAAGACATAACCAAATAAAAAAATAATTTTTAATTAAATAGTTCAGTAAATTCTCAAAGAAAGCAGTAGTTAGCCAGCTGTGGTTGGTTTATTTTGTGGGGATATTATTGTTACAAAGAAATAAAATAATAATGAAAATTATAAATAAAATAAAATAAAACAATAATATTTAAATCTTGTTTAAAATAAATTAAATAAAATATTAAAATAATAAAATTACTCCCAGCATGCAATAAAAACAAACATCCCTCCAAAAGATGTGAGATTCAATCTCTTTGCCAAAGAACTGTCAGGATGATAACATGTGTGTAACTTCCCTCAATGATAGGACTTGTGATATCATGGAATAACTTACTCCCTTTTATAACCTGAACATTATCACAATTGTAACGTAAAATACACACAAATACATAAATAAAATTGTATGAAATTACCATACAATTTGTCATGCCTTTTCTGTATTGTGTACATTTATTTTTCCCGTTTTTATCTTTGTAAAAACAAGCCTAAAATTCTTCTATCACTACTCCTATGGTGTAAGCAAATACACCACAAAATTATGAGGATCACCGATGTGTACAAAAAAAAAAAAAAAAAAAAACATACCACAATTTAAATAGAAGATAATTAATTATACATCCCCAAAGTGTAAATAAAACACTCTTTGTGTACAACAGCCACAGGAGAATATTTAAGTGAAGGATTGAAATTCCATTTAATGTTTAGAGATTTATTATCAAAAATTCCTTTAAGAGAAAAAATACTTAAAATGAAGTTAAAAAAAAATCCTTTGTGGCATGTCAAGATAAATCATCCTTAAAGATCAGAATTTATTTGATGGCATGTAAGACCCCAGCTTAACTGAATCTAGGATTCATTTAGACATTGCTCCATGTGAGTCTTTGGTTTCTGTCATTGATAGAAACAAGAAATCAGAAACAGAGTTATCCGTGTGCCAAGTTCAGTTCTCCACTTATTTCTGTTTCATTCGCTTCATGCTTAGCTATGAGTTAAATATCAGGGCAGACATGAATGTATTAAGGTGGCAGCCAGTCAAGGGAAAAGCAAAAACAATTCCAGCAAGATTCCACATGAGTTACGTGTGACTGATCCAAAATTTTCACAATCATGTCACCCCCACCCTAAATATGTGGTTGCCTAGCTATCCAGATTTGAACACTCAGGACTAGATCTAGGTCATTATGCATATCAATGTACACATGCAAACACACAATTCTTGACTTTTGTATAAAGTTCTAGCATAACTAATTTAAGTAGAGGTAAATCAAAATTTGACCAAATTTAAAGCAGTCAGAAAATACTGATGAAATAAACTTGTCTTTCTTAAAAAAAAAAAAAAAGCCACCAATAATTTTAGATATGTTTATACACTAAATATATCATTTTTTTTATGCATTATATTTTGACTATTCAATAAAACAAGAGCATAAGTACAAAAAATATGTTGAAAAATGCTTCCTTCATGTTTTTTGTTTTTGCCCAGGAGTGTATGCATGTATATAGGTAGTAACATATACACCAGATACATGTAAATGTTTGCAGTATCCTTTTTTATTTTTTTAAATGAAGGAAAAAAATAATAGATGGAAGAATTTTACACACTCAAAAGTAATTAATTATATATAAGAAAATTTCAGTGAGTACAACTGCTCTCTTTGGCTTATACAATTATACATCCTACAGACACACTAATATTAAAAAATTATACATAATGCCCTACACTGAACGCATAACTCAAAGTTTCATGCTCTGAGTTGTGCATTCAACATAGGATATTATGTATATTTCTTTTTAATATATATATATATATATATATATATAAGCAAATATATGGATATAGATCTGACAGTATGAAGAAAAAATATACAGAAAAAACAAACAAAAATCCTAATATGCAATTATGCTGTTTTAAAGTTAATATAATGTCAACATCAGACGTTTCGGTCTAGTAGACCATCTTCAGGACATATTCATAAAACATAATTAACATTAGACTATATTCAATTCAACATGAAAAGACGATGGACATAAGAGTAAGACTGATCAAAACAGACAACTGAAATTTAAATGCGCTAAATATTAAAACTACAATATTACCTACTAGAACTATCCATAGTTTATTAAATAACACCAGCAACCAACATATTACATCTGATGCTTGCATCTACCAAATCTCATGCAACAACTGTGACTTAAAATAATCTTAGATGGATTTATGAGGGAGGCATAATATCTATCTCACGCACAGTGAATACTAGACCTGGCTTCTTTAATATTTCCCCTTTTCTAGCAAGATTAATGCTCAATAAACGTACATATAAGTTTAAGATTAAAATAAAATCCTTTTCATTTTTCATTCAAAATACTCTATTTTAGGAATACGTTTTCACAACATCGCCCACGTGACACCGACGTGATCATATTGAAA